GGAGCAATCTGCATGTGTTAAATTGTTCTAGAGTACTTCCTGAATGGGGTGGACATCAACCACCCTCTTGTTTGGATTACAGAGGTGCCTTGTGCTAATGTGCTGGAAGGATTTACGTGTGGGTACAGTGCCTGTAGAGCGATAATGTCAGTAGTTCAAAACAAGTGTGGAGAAGCATCAGGCAAATTTCTGTGGAATGATGTGCCAGTGATCCTCAGTCTATCCTGCAGTTATATAATTACTTCTTTTGAGTACTGTTTCATATCATCTTCTGGAAGAACTAGCATAGGACATCTTGTATACAGGCCTTACCTGGTACATATGGCGTGTTAATGGATTGCCATGTATTTCACTTAGTCTTTTCTGCTGTGCCTTGACTATCTTATGGCCCTAAAACAATAACCTCACGCTTCTGCAGCGGTGTAGTGTGACAGCATGTAGCATAAAAGCTTGAGTTACACATATCAGCTGCCAGAAGTGGTGCTGCTTCTTTAGGGCCTTGATTGCAGGTACTAAGGGGTTATCATGTTACTAAAGCAAAAACGGTTGTAGGGAAAGATGAACAAGTTATGAGGCTCGAGGAAAAGTTTCCTGTGCTTTTAATATGCCTTCTTACTCTTCTCTGTATGAATCTTGAAACTTTGCAGTATTAGTGCCTGCACCATGTAAGATTCATTATGGTAAATGTATCTAACTGAATTTAAGATTATGGAATCAAATATAACTATGTTTATATTGAGACTGAAAGTTCTAGTTCTTTAATAAACATTGCACCACTGATTGAAAAATAACTGCAGATTAATTATATTGAAGTGATGTATTTTATTTTTAAACAGTGTATTGTAGTAAGAGGAAGATGAGGAAATATTTTAGGGTCTTTTGCCCTAGCATCCTTTCAGTCATTCTAGATTTGGAGCCCATTTTTGGTAGTTACAGAGTACCTTACAATAGGCACCAAATTCCTTCGGCTAAGAGTCAAGCTTTAAGTAAGAATTTGGGGGATAATCCAGATGTCTAATACAAAATGACTCTTGCATTCTGGACCATGGAGTCATTAGAGCAGTAGTGGGTTCTGCCAGATGTCTGCAAGTTGTACTCTAGCTCCAGCCTATCCCTCGGATAAGCTTGTTTTTGTCCATTGCTTATGAAGAAAGACCAGTTTGTCAAATTTATTTGAACAGATTCTGTTATGAATGAATCCTCTTCATGCTGGTGATGAGGGGATCAAACTCCCTGAATTTGCTTAGCCCAGCACAGTATCACCCTTATGACTTTGAGCCTAACACTTCTTCACTTTGAATTTTGCAGCTCAGTGCAGGTTTATCAAAAGCCAAGCACAGCTTAATCAGGGATGGCAATTGGTTGACTTTGAACACAGCCACTGAAACAACTGTTGCTGAACTTGACAAGATGGATAGATACATTGATTAACCTTGCAGTGTAAAGTAATCCTCCTTAGATAGTTTAATTCACCACTTGGGTTCAGAATAAAGATAATTGCTCTGAACAGCCCGACCTTTCTGGGTCATGGCCAGTGAAGATTCCCAGGCTAAGGAAGCTTAGAGTAGGACGCTTTGATGGGAGATTTTTGGGATTTCACTTAGAAACCTGTGCTGCCCTTTCCTCTGAATCACTGCCTCAGTGACTCAGCTGTCGGAGCATGGGGCCTTTGAAAGCGTTGTCTTGAATGGCTGTTACTTTATATATGGTGTGTGATATATATATATATATATATATATATACACACCATATATATATGTGTGTGTGTGGTGAGTGTCCAGGCTTTTAACCCTGTAAGCGATAGGGATATCTACTTCTTTGGTATATACCTTTTGCGTTTCACACTTTTACATGGTAAAAATACTTTTGTTCTTGTTTCATGTAGTATCCCTCTTATAGGTAAGAAAGCAGTTGCTGTTATCTGCATCTGTGTGTAAAGTTACCAGGTATGCTGAAAGTACTTCTTGACTGTATTGCAAAAGCATTTTCATGTTTTCAAGCCAACTAGCTGCTCTCTCGTGGCTCAGCATTCCTGGATGCATGGAAAACGTGTAGCTGAAGGGGATATTCTATGAAAATCAGTAAAGAAGGTGGTTTCTAATAATACTGTGCAGATCAGCTCACCTTTGAGAGCACATTTAGACTTCAGGTCTGGTCTCTTTGAGTTCTAATGTGAAAGCTAAAAAGCAAGCAACATGGGGGGGGGGAAAAAGCTTTTATGTTTTCCAGAGCTGATACGAGGTCAAGGAGACAAGGAATCAGTGCACAGTTCTCTTGCTAGCTTGTTAAATGGGCAGCTGCAGCCACAGCAGGACAGCTGCAAACAAGGCGGCTAGAGAGACAGTGGAGACAATTTTGGTCCTCAGGTCCAGTTCTATTGCTTTTGTAGCCTGCTAAGAAGTATATGTGTGTTGGGGTACAGAGGGGAAGAAGGGTGAATATCTGGAGCTGAGCAGTTCAAATGAATGCTGGCAACTGCAGAATTTTAGGAAATAAGATCTGGAAGTGATTTTGGAATGACACACGCTCTGGTTTACTGTCTCAAGGTGGGATTGTAATGTCCTATATCAGCCCGTGTCTAAAACATTCTTAAACATCTTCTCAGACTCTCAGAAGCTACTCAGAGGCCTGAGATAAGCTTGCAGTTTTGTGATAGCTTTAGCTAATTTTGGAAGAATCCTCGAATGAGTCCATAAGGCCCGGTTAAACTGAAGGTATTCAGACCACCTCAGTACTGTGTAACCTGTTCTTCACCTATAACAGGCTGAACTTGAGCTGCTCACTCACTTTAGCTAAATGTGCTAGCCATCTGCTCGCAATCCAGCTTTTTACTGAAGACTGGTACAACAAAGGCATTAAACACTGATTTTTCTTTGAACATCGTAAGTTGAAAGAGTTCTGTTCTTTTATGCTAACTAAAATTGGAGTAGTATAGACTGCAGTAAAATATGTACTTGGCTTGGTGATTAACGTAACCAAGACTCAGAAGAAGTGTGCAAGATAACGTGTACGCTCCACAGAGAAACAAATTTGGTATAATACATAGGAGTTTTCACCTGGGAAAGTGAAGAGAGTTGTATTATATCTGTCTGAAACAGTCATTTGACCTGGTATTTCCTTCTTATTTTGGACAAGACTTTCAGAGTAGCTTTGATCTGTGATCTGCTTTGATCCTGCTTCTGAGGAGGCTTTTCTTTATCGATCCTTTTCCTGAAAAGGCCCAATCCTGTTGAAAGGACTTATCTCTTTCCCCTTGTATTTTCTCCTTTCCTTTCTCAGTTGTTTTTTGTTGAGATATCACACTTGGCAGGTCCTCAACTTGAGGAGCTACTGGTTTATTTTACCCTTAGATTTCTTTTTTTTCCCCTTTTTTTTGAGAGGGGAAAACAATGATGCAGTATTATCGGTAATACTTAACAATCCAAGATTATTCAGTGTCTGGCCGTACAGCGTGACTATGTGTGTCATTGTGCTCCACGAGTCCGTGCTTCCAGGATCTGCCTTGCCCTCATGCACTTACTAAACTCCCAGTGACACATTTGCAGTCCCCTGAGCGCACACCTCGGTGTCTCTCTGCTATTTACAAGCTGAGTAACAGCATTCACTTGATCAGATTCTCTTGGTTTTTAAACAAAAGAAGTTTTGGGTTGGGAACAGTTGTATCTTAATGTGATACTTGATTTAATATGGTACTAGAAAACAATATCTGTCTTTCAGTAGCAGTGAGGTGGTCTGTTTAGCTTACAATTCATTCTTTGAGTCACTATGTCCCGAAGACTCCAGAGTGTCTAATTAAAAGAGGTTATCTTAAGAGAGCACTTCTATAGCAAATGAATTTCTAGTGGAGCTTCCCCTTTCAGTTATGCAGTGGTACCAGAATTGAAGAACGTTCTTCTGCAGTACAAGATCTTGGGATTTTTCTCCTTACTCTTTTAGAATTTGCAGTAGTTGAATATGGACTACACATCTCATTTCTGTACTCTCATAGGTTGTATTTTATCTGTCTGAAAATGGACCTTGCAGATCTGCTTTAGTGGAAAGTAAGCAGTCTGCTTAAACTCACTTTCAGTGAGGAAGTGGAAAAAACCCCTCTGTTCTGTCCGTCCATCCACCAGTCATGAAGCTTTCAGGATACTTAAAATCTTAAGCCACTGTTTTGCTTTTGTTAGTCAAACTTTGTCAACAGGTTAATGGGTGAAAGGCAAACAAGAAGACAGTGTGATCTGGTAAGTCATATTTCCTTAGGAAATTGGGTTGAAAAGCAGTGGCTCAGTGAAACCCCTGAGTCCTCTTACCTGCTATGTAAGTTGCAGCATTTGCAGAAATGGTTGTAAAGGTACAGCCCAGTAATGAGTTCAGACTCCTGCTTCAACTGTGCATTCTGAGGTTTGTTCACACAAGCAGCTAGCTATCTGATTAGCACTATTGATGTGGTGGAACCCATTTTATATGCACCAGTTGCAGCATTTTCACAGTTGCGCTGTGCATATAAATGTTTGAAGTATGTTCTGCAACTCTGAATGGGTGCTGCTTTCTACTTGTCACTGTTGTACATAAAATACCTTCACTTAACTGAGAATACGTTAGTAAAGGGGAAAGCAAAAATGTGTTGTGGGTAGTTTCCTGAACTGTCAGTTATATACTGTAAAAACATTTTCATAGAATCAAAGAATGGCTAGGGTTGGAAAGGACTTTAAGAGTTTATCCAGTTTCAACCCCCCTGCCATGGGCAGGGACACCTCACACTAGGCCATGTCACCCAAGACTCCATCCAGCCTGGTCTTGAACGCTGCCAGGGATGGAGCATTTATCACTTCTTTGGGCAACGTAATGTTTGTCAGTCACTTATACCTATTTATAACTCTAGATTTATAAATCTTTAGATGTTCCCCCCCTTCCCAGTGTTGTCCTAGGACCATAACAAATTCCATTCTTGCTATACATCACCAGTATGTCACTTCTTATGTTGATACAATTTTTTTTTTTCCCATTATTTGCAGGTCTGCTATTAAAGCACTGCGTCCTGGTGGATCGTTGGTCTACTCTACGTGCACCCTCTCAAAGGCAGAAAACAGTGATGTAATAAATCTCATTCTGAACTCCTGCAGTAATGTTATGCCTGTAGATATAAGTGAAATGGCCAAAGCTGTTTCTCACGAATTCAGTTTTCTCAGTGGTACTCAACAGCATGAACTTCTGGTTCTCCCAGAGAAGGGGAGAGCATGGGGTCCAATGTACATAGCTAAATTAAAGAAAGTGTAGTCCATCTGATGCCTGTTAGTTTTTTATAAGGGGTATGTGATAAATGAACGTTGATTTCTAATACATTATGTGTATATGAACATGTCCAAGGCAACTGAATTTAGAGCATTGCTGTTTTGTATCAGCTGATGCCTAATAAAAGGATAGCTAGACACTTAGTTTAGCTGAAAACGCTGAACGTGTCTTCCAGTGTGGACCTGTGGGCCCTTGTGAAGTCCTTACGAAGTCAACAGAGCTTTGTATTATTTTCAAGGTGGTGCTTTTAAATGAATTTGTGTTCAACAACAGGAGCCTGATGTGGTGGGGTTTTGCACTGGGCTTTGTTTTCTGCATTTGGGTATTTTTTAATTATTTGATTTTAATACATTATGTATTAAAATAAATGGTTTCAATGGTCTGAAGTCACGGAAATCCTGCATTCTCTCTCAAACACATCTAGAAACCTGTTTTTCTGTACAAACTGATTTGTATGCAGAATCTGTCATCTTAAGCGCTGACTATTGCAAGCACAGGTTTCATATTTGCTAAGGTGTTTACTGGTTAAAAACTGTCTTTTGCTTACAGTTGCAAAGGTCAGCAGCTGTATCGACAACAGCTTTTTCTGTATTTTTTTGTATTTTTGAGCTTACAAAAGAATGTAAATTGAAGAGTAAATTATGTTGACATGTTCTTAAAACAGTGGATTTAGGTGTGTTTAGCTTTGGTACTCATTTCATGCAATTTCGCGGCATAACGCAGTATATCCAGCAGTCTCTAGAGCACGTATTTGAAACAGAAGCAGAATGATTAATAACCACAATAATAACACAGTATGCAGAGAGTTTTGTTACACAGTTACAGTCATGATGAGCAGAACAGGCAGTCTGGAGAAGTGGCTTATCCACTGAGTTAGGACACGACGAATTCACTAGCATTTACCTGTGGTGTGTAAGGAAGGAGTCCCGGTGCAAACGTGTTCTGATGTTTATGGGTTCCCTCAATTATGCCACATAATGATGTGAATAAATATGTAGACATATGTTCATGTGTATCCACATGCCTGTGGTTTAGGTGTAAGAACTTTTGATCCAGCAGTGCTTGAGTTAACACCTGTGAGTGGATCGTGTAATGGTGTATGTGTTATGTCAGATGCTTGTCTTGAAGTAGAATGGAGCTCTTTCATCCTTTTGGGAGCAAAGAGGAGTCTTTCTCTGGTTGAAACCATTGAAAACAATACCAATTGTTTTTAAGGAATGGTGTTTTAAAGAGTAGTTTGGTTTTTTTTTCCTGGTAGATGAGTTGTTTGTGTAGAAATGTGTGAGGCTGCACATATTTATACATTTCTTGATTTGTGTGTACATCCTCTGTATATGTAATTATGTATTTTTACAGTCATAAATGTGACTTGTTAATGCATATTTGATATTTTTTTTTTTCTGTATACAAAAGAACATCAACTTGTAAGTACTGGGAAAACTACTAAACTGGTGATTCTGCACCTCGCTAACAAAGGCAGGAATGAAGCTGACTGCATGAGGTCTTCTGTAAGTACCTCCAGGTAACCACCCTGGAAATGCAGTAGTTCCACATTTAGTTTCTCCAGTGATTATTTTGCTGTGAGCTCACAAATACTTGTTACAGCTGTGACTGAGCTGCCTTTTATCTTTGAAAAATTCAGTTGACTTTTCACTGTCTTTATTCTCTGCTCACCTTGTTATGTTGCTGAGCCTCAACTTTGCATTCACAGCAGTACTTTGTCAGTGCACCCATGGTCATGGAGCGCTCAGCATTTGTCCCCGCTCTGAGCATTGTGGCTGCTGGGAGGGTCTTGTCCATAGTGACTAGAGCAATGGGAGGGTACTGTTTAGAGGCATAGCACGTGAGCTGAGGAAGACTTTAGTTGCCTAAAAGCAGATGCTGATCCTGAGCAGTAGCTTTGGTTCTTCAGGTTTCTGTGACTAAGAAGAGCATGTGTTGGGGGGTTGGCCCTCACAATGGTGTCTTGCTGGTCCACATTTTACTGAAGGAAATGAATGGACAAGGTACTCTGCCCCTTAGGTGCATGAGCTTCCCTGGTTATTTGTTCCCCTACTTTGTGATGAAAATCTTTGAGGCGTCTCTGTAGTAATAAATTGTCAGCAGTGTTTCTGAAAAATTAAGAGGATATAAAGCATGTGCAACTTGAGGCACAGGAGTTACTAATGTATGCAGGTGATATTGTGTTCCCATGAAAGGACCTAACAAACAGCATCCGTCCCAGAAACGTTGAATGTAATATCCAGGTTTGGAGTCATCTCAGGTTACTGGATGAAATAACAATACCTTTGTCAAAATGCTCTCCATCAGTTTTATTTGCCCTGTGGAAATTGAAATGGAAAGCCAAGAGTGTAACTTACTCAGGGATGGAATTAAAATATGTAGTTAAACTGAATGGCTGAGGAGAGCATGGTCTAGATAATCACAGAAAAAACAAAGGGGTCTTTGAAAATGGAACTTTGCTCAATTTCAGCATATGGGCAAGTCCCTGTGAACTGTACTGCATGAGACCTAAATTAGGCAGCAAGGCCTCCTGGTGTATGTAAAAGCTGCACTGTGTTCTGCATAACCCTTTGCTGATCTCCTGGAGTTTCTTTTTAACTTGTCTGAGAATGCACCCAAAAGGGAGGTAAAAATGAGGCTAATAAGGAAGTGATTTCTTTTGCCTTGCAGCAGATGAATGCTAGTCCAGACTGCTGTGGAGTTTTTTTGTTCTGTTCTAATCGGTTCTGGCTGATGCTGGTGGTATGGTAAGCACATGTCAGGGAAGACGGGTGAGAAGGGAAAAGCAGAAAGGATGGGTGGCATGCCTGTAGAAGTAAGGGGCAAAGTTTGCTCATGTTGGGAAGCAGCGTCCACTCAAGGGTGCTTCTTGAAAGGGTTTGTGTCTGTTCAGGTACCTCTTATATGCTTTTGATGTCCTAGGATGACTTCTGCTCACCTTAAGGACAAGGCTGCGACATTTTCCCTTTTTACACCTTTTTTCCAGGGAACTGTAGTTGAATTCCTTACTGTGTCCAGTCTTCTCTTTAACAAGCAGCACTGATGGAAATGGGGTAGTAAACAAGTCAGTCTGGCTTAGAGGAAATGGCAGCCCCAGGGTAAGCAAGATGAGGGGAAAAAATGACTATTTTTGTTGGCTTGTGGAGTCACCAGAGGAATCTTCATGATCTCTAATGAAGGCAATTAAGACAGTGTTTGTGCAGCTAGTCACCAGCATATGTATTGCACTCATCAATGCCAGTGTACTTCAGAGGCAGCAGAGAGAATTGGAGCTGAAATACTATCCTGCTTTTCAGCCATTCCCTTTTCAAACATACCAAAAGCCATTTCCCTGTTAGTTTTTTGGGGGTGGCACAGTAAGAAACAGAGGCCTTCTCTAAAGGCAACTTTGGTATGTGCCAGATTTTATCATTTATTCAGTAACATCTGACACAATTCAATTACAGCTTGCCAAAAGCATTCTCCACTGTGGACCAGAGTGGAAAAACAGATTACACACAAAGGGCTGTGGACTGTTACAGTCAAGTAGGGGACTAATGAACGCTTGGCTTTCTTAGTAAGATGTGCAAAGAGAGCTTGAAGCACACGCAGAAGGATCAAAGCTACACCAGTGGAAGAAAAATGTATATTACAGGGGAAGAGATGCTGTGGATTTTAGCTTGGAAGAGCAGCAATGCTGCATCCTGCATTGGGAAAGGTCTGTGAGTGTCTGGGTGGAAACGAGAGTTCCTTGGGCAAAGAGTCAGTTACCTGTGCTGGGATGAGAGGTGCCCCTTAGTTCATCTGGATATCTTAAGAGAAAAATGTCTTCTGAGAACATCAATCATGAATGGGTGCTTGCTTTAAATTTGCAGGGTATATAAATTAGCTGTGAGCATTTAAATAGAGCATGGCTACCTGTTTCTTGCAAAATGAATGGCAGTGTTCCTTTCAGAAACATTGGTTTTCTGGGAGGAAAGATTGACAATTTGATCTGGCTTAAATAGTCTGTTCTGTAGTAGAATATGGCTTACTGGTATGCTGGTTGAACTTGGTGCAACACGGGCTACAAATGACTCTTCCAGGGTGATCTTGAGCAGCACCCACCGGTCGCCTCTTACCTTCCAGGTAAAAGTGAAACTTAAAGTTCTCAGTTATGAATTTGTCAAACTTGGATCAGAGAGCACAGGGCACACACAGTCACTAGTCTTACCTTTTAGATGGTGCTGCTGCGTCCCCACCATATGTTTCTTGACTAAAGATAGGTTTTTCTAAGGTAGATCATAGCAATCGTGAGACATTTGTCAGAAAATGCTTTCATTGGCTGATCTTCCTGGCTGCCTCTTAAGATTTGGGGTCAAGGTCTAATGTTCTCAGAAGGTTTTATTTTCTTAGTAGTTGTACACAGCTTTCACCAGGGGCAAGCATCATAGAGCTCCCATGGCTCCATTTAAAAGACATGTTTCAGGTGGTACCTAAATAACATGCTTCAGTCAGAAAGTCGCAACTACTGTTGCGAGGAAGGGGTGGAACATAAACCAGGGTTTCGTGTTGGTCTTTGTATTTCACTGAAGAATTTCCACTCCCTGCAGCTGTGTTTAAGGTTGGCAATCCACGTAAACATTTTCTTGCTGTTTCACTGTGTGATGTTCCTACAGACATTGCAGTACCATAGTGACTTACCAGTGTGTCATGGCGACGTAACCCTTCATGGTCTCAGAGGAAGAGGAAATGGATCTGATGCTCTAAATCCACAGGTAATAATAAATTCAATAGTAAGAAATTCTCTAAAAGTTGTTGCAGAGATAAGTCTTGTTACAGGGGATAGGAGCACTAGAAGGCAGCACAAATTCGAATGAGTCTAGTGCTTCAGCTGATTAGCAGTGTTGTTACCTTGTCCTTTCCAAAATGATGCTTCTCTGATGTATGGCTTTCATTTTTAGTGACCATAACTGTTTGGCCTGACCTTACTCTGACAAGGCTAATCAAATAAAGCAGTCAAAATAAGCAAGAGACATGCAGCATCTTGAGTAGCTCTCACAGGGAGTCAAAAGAGATTTGGGTTAACTGTTGCCGTCTCTTGGTCACCCATAGTATTCTGGTGTAATACTTGTGTAGCAGTACCTGTGCCAGGGATGGGCCCTGACACAACAACTCCTGATACTCCCTTTATCTCCATTA